CGTGCTGCTCGATTGCCTCCAGTATGGTGTCAGCGATTCTAGGTTCGAGAGTAGATCCTGTGCCTAGCATGCTAAGCAAGCTATTAATAACTGCGATTCGTATATCGACATGCCAGGCAGTTTTCAGTATACCCAAAAGCACGTCACAGGCGAATTGCGGATCGAAATAAGTAGCATTACGGAGTATTCGTGCGATCAGCTTGACCGTGGTTACCTTGACGTAATGAGGCTTGACGGCATCCTCGCCGGATCCCTTGGCTGGTGTCTGGTTGGGACCCTTCTTTGGCCGGGTTTGATTTTTTTGAGCGACAAGTCTGGCTTGGATCTCGGATGACAGGTCCCTAAAGAAATCCAGGGCGTCACGAGGACCCAATGTACGAAGAAATCGGGGCCTTACTATATATTGATGCCAAGAACTGACTTCTTGGTGATCTAGTATCACTCGTCGAATGAGATCGAGCGCGGCAGTCGGTTGATCGCTGAAAGATATATGCCGAATCAAACCAATAACAATTGTTTGCGCGCCCGGACGATCCAATCCATACATGGCAAAAACAGACTCGGCCAGTCGAGCGAGGAGAGGGATTGGTGCGAAAGAGGCGATACGTACTAGCCGAAAGTCGTCCATGTCTTTGGAGACAACTTCCAGGAAGTCTTGATCAAGGAAAAAGGCTGGGATCATGACGTCGGCTTTCGATGGAAACGGCTCCAGGAGAAAAGATTTATCGCAGCCGTACTTGGTGTTGATATAGGCGAGTGCGGCCGGGGTTAAAGACTCTAGGTCTTCGTCTTCGAATGAATCAAATATATTAGAACGGGAATATTCTTTGGTTTCCGCGGACGGCTTGCGATATGGATTGTCCCCGTACGGATTATCAGAGGAAGATATGACTTTTAGATCAAGCATGCAATCCAGCACAACCGGCGATAATAACCGCGACTTCTCCCGGTCAGATCGGAAACCTGGATCTGGATTCCACTCTACGGGGTAGTTGTCTTCAGACACCGGGATGTTGGCCACTTGTACTTGAAGTTCTGGGGCCAAATCTCTCAAAGCGGGCCGAAATTCGTCCAGACTGTAAAGAATAAAGTGGAAAACGGCCTCCCAGAACCTCAGAATCTCCTTGCCTTGCATCCGGGTCCCCGTGAGTTTGGTCACAGCATGATTCCACGCGTGTCCGATTCGCTGTTGGCGGTCTTTTCCCGAAGAGCCGCTCTTGACATATACTTTAAGGGCGTATGGGTAGCTGTCGATGAAACGGCCAATAGTACCAACCAGTTGCTCATTGCTGTCTTCGTCTGGAGCTGGTTGTAATGCGATGGACGACTCCATGAAAACCGTATCGCGAGCCCGGCTTTGAAGATAAGGCATGTGGCTCCAGTTCGCGTCAGGGGTCAGAGCTTGTATCGGGAGTCCTTTGGGCCACGGGGTATCAAGATCGGCAGTATTCGGATCTCGCTTGAGCCTCAGCTGATGCCAGATCTCATCACGCCTCAAAGCTAGTTGGTCCAGGAAAGCATAGGAGGCAGGTTTGGCACCGGAAACGAGTCCCAAGGATCCAATGGGCCCACAGATTGAGTTTGTGTCCAGCGCGTCAGCGCCACCGTGTTCGAAACTGAACCTTTCGATTTCCAAAAGGAACTCAATGGTGGGCGTCCATATAATTTCGAACAGCTGCGAGTCTGTAATTGTTGAGCGTTCTTGGAGTTCATGTGCTCGCTCCATCCGTGTCCTCACTATCTTAGCGGGTAGACTCAAGACGTCCCTCCAGTGCCACTGATTGAATGATGGCTCGCGAAGGCTCATGGAGGCCGTTTCGTAAAGTAGCAACATTATCTTGTTAGCTTCAGGTATATTCTCACATGATTGACCGAAAGCGACTGGTGTCAGTGGCTTTTGCCATTTTTTCGAGTTGACCGTAGGCGGTAATGCGATACCGGACAACATATCAATCGTGTCTTGTTTACAAAACACACCAGCGTCGTAGAAATGCAGCGGGAATCTGGGATCGCGGATGAATCGGCGTGCCCAGAGAATCGTCTCGTGGAATAGCGCCAGAGATTGCATTTCAACAGTGAACAGCAGGGCTCGAGTGGCCTGATACCCTCTATCACTTGGCTCGCGCTGCGAAGCTGCTTTCTCCATCAAATCTTTTAACGATTTTCTTTTTTCCGCATAGTATTCTTCATTTCGAACTGGCTCTTTGAAATGTTTCATTGTTTCTTCCAGATCGCCATTCAGGAAGGTGTCATCAGGATGTAAGCTGGCTAGGCGTTCAAGTAATTCCAACCCTTGCTTTTCCGGCAAGACCATGAAGATGCTGGGATTCCAAGACTTGATACGGGCTAGTTTTTCGTCGTTCTCGGTTGATCGAACCTCGATGTCCAGTTGGAAGCATTGCACATGAAGTAAGATGAGGCGCAGCAGACGGAAGCGTAACTCGGGTACGACGGCCTTGAGCCACTCGACGTCAACTTCATAGACATGCGAAGGGAGCGCGGCAAGCAATGAGACAAGGTGTTGCTCTATCTGGCTCCTCGCTTCTGGGTTCTTCGATCTACCCCATAGCCTCACCGCGTAGAATATCAGACTGCGGCCTCGGCCGCCCACGAGAAATCTAGCAATGGGTGGATGTTGTCGCACGCAGTCTACGACAAGACGCAGCACTTGTTCCCTCATTCCAGAATCCCCGCGGACATGGTAAAGTCGTCTCGAGAGAAATGTGGCGACTGGATCTATGACCATATCTTTATTCCGTTCTAATGCCAGCTTGTCTTTGGCTAGGCGTTGCAGTATCGCGAACGCGAAACGCCAGCTGTGACCTATAAGGTGGTCATATGATCTCACCGTCCGCCCCTGGCCCTCTTGTGGGAACATAGCAGCCAAGGCGGCGGCCTCGAACAAAGCAGGGCGAGCATGCAAAACGGACTTTCGGAGACGGTGAGGAGCATCGATCGCCTTTGATGCCACATCTGGGGCACAAGCCGGTATCATCTTTTGGTACGCCTCTCCCAAAGGGCGTTTATCGGGATTTGGTATACTCTCAATTGTCCCGGTCAGTGCTCCGAACAGCGTAGATATTGCTTCCTGGCGCGATTCGAGCACCGTTAAAGATCCACTTGAGTTCTGGATCATCTTGCAAAGATATTCCACGTCGTTGACACACATGTCTGCCATCAACCGAAGCATACCTTCCACACCTCCCACGGAATTCCAGATGGAGTGAAAGCCATCTTTCCTTCGGAGCCACGCGCCGAAAGCCTTAATTCCCTTTCGCCGTCCGTGCGCTGATGCCGTCTGGGTCATGGCGGCGACGACGGCGTCGGATTCATGGCATACGTCAAGCCATTGGCCAAAAACATTGGGAGGCAGGGCACCCAACCTAACGCTCTCAATGAGGTGATCTGATATAGCTCTCCACCCGACGGAAGGCAGAATGTTGCTGAAATATTCGGCGAGTGCCAGACGGTTGCCAGCTTTGCTCCGAATTAGCTTGTTGCTGAGTTGATGCTCCATTTTGGAAAGTGTTGCCGTGTAATGCTGTAATGCTCATTAGAATTAAAAGATATTCCATGATTCCATCGCTACGTGAGCTCTATATATTCAACTCTTTTTCGCTGGCCCGGGGTATAGAACCGTAGGGATCTGGCGCTTACGGTGGAGCGCCGGGTGTGACTCTTACGGTCGGGTGCTTACAATCTTCCAGGGGAAACATTGGAATGGTGTGGCCCAGGCAGACAGGCCTCATCTCGACCAATTCTTTCAACCAGAAAAGGCCCGAATTGTCCTATAGAGAGCATGTTCGCAGTGTCTCTACATGTCCGCTGGTTATAATATGAAGTGATGCACCCTCCAACCCGAAAAAAAGGGCAAATGGCAGCGTAGCGGGTGTTCGCACCGCATGGTCGGGCAACGAGCTAGACAATATAATCTGCGGCACACGAAGAGCACTTAGATACTGAGCTTGGCCTGAGACGCGTAAGACAGTTGGTTTATCCTCGTAGACCCGCCCTTTGCGCTCGCAATCGGTGCTGTGAACGGTGTATCCAGGTACTGAGTACGCGACTTATTAGTTAACCTCCGTCACAGAAGGCGGCGATCCAATTGATGGGGCTGTGTGTAAGAGCTTGTGCTTAGATACTTACCTAGTAATGCCAAGTTTCCTTACGAATGGGAGCCCCTGACGTCGTGGTAAGCGCAAGCTGCGAGCTACTATGTTCCGTAGACGCCGTGAGGTTAGCTCTCCGCGTACTAAGTACATGCCTCTCAGTAGAGCAAGGGTTATGAACACGCGGCCTTTTTAACATGCTTGCTGGGAACTTCCTACCTAGGTATTGTTAGGTAGGTACCGGTAGATGAATCAGTTCGATCGCCGAGTGTTGATACAAATCCTCGGTGAAAGCCTCGAAGGAAGCAGCTTGCATCATGATCCTTTCAATATACCTTAGGTAGGTATCCAACAGGCTTCTACTACCCGACTTTTAGGTAGAAGAGAGCAAATTGGCAGTGAATTCTGGCTCAAGCTCGTGACGAGAATGGAAGGTTAGATAACCCTGATAAACGAGTCCATAAGGATTTATTCTGTTCAACTCCTTACGCCGTGAAAATGGATGTCTTCATTTATGTGATGGCATCAGAACAGCGGATTTACAGACTTCATCCGTAGAAGGTGTTCCTCCGGCAATTTTCTCGGGCCATCGTTTGCGAGACGTGAATTGCATACCGATATTGTCGCAGCGATACGAACCCAAAAGTTGAACCACAGCGAAGCACTCGATAAATACGTGATGATATTTGAAATTCCTCGACGAAGAGCTAATAAAAAGAAGCAAGCGCCCGGTTCTCAGTAGCGAGGTGTATGTAGTGAAGATAATCTGCACAGCGCAGCGACTCCGCCCTCCAATGCCCTAGATATGACGTTAAGATGATCTAGATATACCAAAAAAAGGGGAGTGATAATGGAACTGAAGCCAAGATCGACAGCTTCCTGCAGTATCATGGCACTATGGCGGAGTGGTTATCGCGCAGCCCTGCTAAGGCTGTTCCTTCGGGAGCATGAGTTCGAATCTCATTGGTGTCGTTTTTTTACCTTTTTATATTTTTATACAAACATCTACTTGGTTGGTTTCTTGTATCTCGTAACTATACGTTCTTAAAGCAAAATACCTTCAGCCCTGGCGGCCGTCAAGGGAACTGCCGATCAACCGATTTAAAGGTAGTGAGCCGCTACGGACTGTAGTTAACCCCCCCTACCTACCTCTACGTACCAGCCAGCTACGCCCCTAGGTAGAAGTGTTCGCCAACTTCCGCCGGGTAGATAGTCATTGGCTGAAGAAGGGGTCGTGGTCCATCGCGGTGGGGATGGGATGTTAAAGGTTTGGCGCCAACGTTCAGCGACTACATACAGATTTTTCAATCCGTATTCCGTACAATGTATAATGTAATAACGAAATCCCCGGGTATGGAGTAGTTGGAGTAGTCCGTACAGAACACGGAATACCTACCTGATAGTTGTTACTAGTCGGTAACCGTGGGACATGATACCTGACCCGTTAGCAATAGGTGACTGGCATCGTAGTTGTCGGATGGGCCATAGGAACACAGGTAGGGGGATAACCTCCTTGGTAGGCATAAGTAAATACCGATATGTACCAACAGGACATATGCGTAGGTATATATTTCGTCGTGGCCGCCGAGCAGTACCTAGGTGCACAATGTTAATTCCGGCTCGAGGTGGATATTGCTTCAATTGGGTTGACCTCTAGTAACAAAATCAAGTCAGGAATTCGGTCCGACTCAGATTAAAATCCTTACCTACTCTGACTCAGGTACGTTAAGATGGTACGCAAATGGCCTAATGACTAGGGATATTGGATTCGTATTCACTGCGCGAATGTGTTACCGGCATGCGGGTAGGTAAAATCTATTAGCCAGATCAAGGTTACCCAAGCAACGGGGGTTATTTTCTTTGAATACTCTCCTGGTGGGATGTCGTTGCGTAAGTAGGCACTCTCAACTCAAGGAACAGTGGTAGACCTCCGGTCTTAGTCGCGAAATGGTACAATGATGGGGAACGCCGCAGTAGATGAAACCCTTCACCTTCATCCAAATAGCCATAATGCCGATCCTTTTACGGTCGATGGCTTACACTCTTAGCATAGCCGTGATCCAATCAGCGACGGTCGTGATCGTCGCGTTCGTAATGGCGGTCTCTATACCGGTGATCGTGACTATGTTCGCGTCTCTCGCGGTCACGTTCGGACTTATAGCTGTCTCTGTAGCGCCTATTTTGCTCCTGTTTCTCTTTCTCACGATCTCTCCTGTACTCGTTCAGCCGGGGTCGACGCTCACGGTACCCATGTCGTTTATCCACCTCTCCCTGCCTGATTTCTTCATCTTCCTTGGAGCCCAGACCCATCAAATGTGGCCTTCTCTTGACTTCTTTAGGTTTGGCCCCAAACTCTTCTCCTTTCCAACCCATTCCTCGTAACATTGCGGCGCCAAATTCGCCATCTGGTATTTCGCCGTATTCATCTATCGTTGATACTTCTGATGCCTCCTGTATACCTCTTTGGTATGCACGTTCTTCAGAGAACTGAGGTTTGCTGGTGATGGCGGTGTTCTTGATAACAAGGTGTTGCACGGAGCGTCGTTTTCCAAGAAGAGCATCCATTGCGTCTTTATCAGCATCCTTTGGTGACCGTGGCGTTGGAGTCGTCGCGTCTGAGTTCCTCTTTTGTTTTTCGGTCTTGTCGCCTGGGCTGGATGGCTCCCCCTGTGAGGGCTTCTTGGAAACATTCAAACCCCATGTGGTATCCTTGTCCTGGTCGGCTGGCGCGAATTCCACAGTATGATCATTCATTGAGGATAGGTGTGATGGCGTTGCTCGTTCTTGTCTTCTGGTTTTAAGATCGGCCTTCCAATCTTTGTTTTTTTGACTGCCGATAACAAATTCCTTGTTGCGTCTCTTGGAAACCGGCACATCACTGCCCCCTGATGTTGTATCCGTACCAATGGTCGTAACAGCCTCATGCTTGCCTACAGTTTCGTCATCGTCGCCCGACTCAGAATCTTGATGGAGCGCATTTTGCCGCTGCCGCTTGCCTAGAGCTGATGGAGGCTGTCTAGATCTGTTCGTTCTACTGCTGGAGGGCTCGGATCTTGCTGAAGATGCTCCAAATTTGATGGCTATGCGAGGCGCCTGGGGCTGAGCAGCAGTGTCGGGCATTTCCGTTGTTTCCGATATTGTGAAGGAAGGAAAAAAGGTCGTCTCAAGCTTCCCGAAGTGATAGACACGAGGGAAAACAAGCCCTCGTGGATGTATGGATGAAATGGAAACAAAATCTTGAACCTTGGAATGAGAGATTGATGAAAGTGGCTCAATCTGCGGTCAGATTAGGTGGGACCTGTTTGCCTAGGTTTGTACATAGGTGGCTCGGCGGGAAGTATGGCCAATTGTCTTGTTATTACCAAGCCTGCTTGGCCGCCTGCTTAAGTCGGCCACCCCACCTAACTAATGTCGTCCCATGGGTGGTATTGTTCGGCCCCGTCACTGCGCAGCCACCGCATAATTAGGCGAGTGGCGTCCTGGATGGCCGAGCAATACGGCAGGCCAAGCAACAGGTAAGCACGACCACAACAACATCCCATTCGTACCTGGGTCGTACCTTACGCGCCTACCTGTTTACCTACCACCTTAGGTACCTACCTACGTAATCATTGCTTACCTGCTTATCTATTCGTGCCTACAGATTGCAGCGCAGGGTAAAAAGTCTGCCGCCGCCAGAGAACTGATGGGTGATCTACAGGGGCTTCGTAGGGGGCTTAAGAGTCTTAGCGACCACTGACTTGTGAGCGCGGGATCTTTAGCGACCCACCTTAAATGCCAATATCCGGAGAGATTCTTATGGTAGGTACCTTAGGTAAACCCCTATAGGGGAGCTCCTGGATGGCCGAGCTAACGTTTAGGACAGCTCCAAGTCCCCATTTATTAGCCAAGCCCACCGAGCCAATGGTAGAAGAACTTGAGATCGCAAACGCACCGAGGACAAGGCGGTCTGGTCCAAAAATCCGATATCTCTTTCCTCTCCCCCCCTTTCTCTTTCCATTCTTCTTTTCTTCTCATTGACCTAGGAGGTACGTCCGTACATGATAGTCAGACCAGCAAGAATCAACCTTGCCTCGTCGCCATCATGTCGAAGCCTCACAGCGTCAACGGGAGTGAATCCGAGTTCGAATTCATCGAGACTCCCAAAGCTCCCACGCCTACTTTTGAGAAATTCGAGGACTGTGGTGTGCGAACAACTTCAGTACGTTGGCCGCCGTGCTACTATCACTACCACCGTTGCCACCATTCCCACCATTTCTACTCAGACGAGTGTGCTGGACTAGTACTAACTATGCCTTCATAGTACCCCGCAATCAAGAACGGTCCTTTGCCTGCGGATTCCGCTGGCTCAGACAGCTTCTCGAATATACTCCTTTTTTCCCTACTCGCCGGCGTTCCGCTGTGGTTTTCCTGGAAGGTGGGAGGTGGATTCAAGACCACTGTATTCTTCGGCGTTCTTTTCTTCCTTCCTATCCTCGGCTCTTTCTGGTTGGTTGTCTCCGCCATTAGCCCTCGAAAGAATGAGAAGGCCAAATATCCTGGCCGGCCCGTTGAACACTATCTCACTTTCAAAAACCGGGACGATAAGCTCAAGTACCATGGCAAGAACAAGATCCCCATGGAGACTTTCTATGAAATGTACTTCGACGGAGACGTTGACTTCAACGGCGATGCTCTCGAGGTTTTGGAGTACAGACACGACTGGGCAAGCTTCCGCTTCACCATCGGTCTCTGCAAGTACTTCGTTTTAGGCATGATACCCGAAGTCATCATGCATTCTCGAAACCAAGGTAAATGTCCCATGCGCTCGCTCCAGTGAGCTCTGTTGCTAACTCGAGCAAGATGAGGAGCAGGTTCGCGATCACTACGACCGCGGAGATGACTTCTACGGCTGGTTCCTGGGTCCACGAATGATCTACACATCGGGCGTCATTAGCGACATTAACACAGAGGAGTCTCTTGAGCAGCTTCAGGACAACAAGTTAGCCATTGTCTGCGAGAAGATCGAACTCAAGGAAGGCGAAAAATTGCTTGATCTTGGCTGTGGTTGGGGCACCCTTGCCCGCTTTGCTAGCGTCAACTACGGCGCGCATGCTACCGGTATCACTCTTGGTCGGAACCAGACGGCTTGGGGCAATAAGGCACTTCGCGACGTTGGTATTCCTGAGGAACAGAGCAAGATCCTCTGTATGGATTACCGGGATGTTCCCGTTCCCACGGGCGGGTACAAAAAGATTACCTGCCTCGAAATGGCCGAGCACGTCGGTGTGCGGAAGCTTGGCGCTTTCTTCAAGCAAGTTCATGACATGCTCGATGACGATGGCATTTTCTTCCTCCAGATCGCTGGTTTGCGCAAATCATGGCAATATGAAGACCTGATCTGGGGATTGTTCATGAACAAATATGTCTTCCCCGGTGCCGATGCGTCTACCCCCGTCGGCTTCGTCATTGATAGACTTGAGGGTGCCGGGTTTGAGGTCAAGGGTCTCGACACCATCGGAGTTCACTATTCTGCAACCCTCTGGCGCTGGTATCGGAACTGGATGGCCAACCGCGAAAAGATTGAGGCGAAATATGGCAAGCGTTGGTTCCGCGTACGTGTACTCGAAAGTAATGTGATCATGTATCTGCTTACATACTAACACCTGTGCCTAGATCTGGGAATATTTCCTGGCTGCCTCCACTATTGCGTCACGCCAGGGCACCGCCACCTGCTGGCAGATTGTCCTCGTCAAAAACATTAACTCAACCCACCGTGTCGAGGGTATTCCGAGCCAATGGGGCCTCAAGGGTGCTTTGCAGGCTGCCTCGAAGAAGTTGAACCTCAAAGCTTGGGCTGAGAAGAATGCAGACTTGTTCCCCACTGCAGCTGCTCAGTAGTCATTTGCATCATGATGGAGTTGGTGGACGGCTGTCCACATATCGCCACCAAGGCCTTTGGCTTATAGTCACATGCTACCTACTCTTATCTT